GTAGCGTCAGAGGGGGGGGAACAGCAGCAGCATACCAAGGTGGTTGGTGAAGGAGGCCATGTACTGGCAATGACAATCAATGGCAGTGGCAAGGAACGCTAGTGTCCAATTTTTGCCTGTTCTGCTGAAGGGAGGGGGGGGGTGGGAAGGGGGAGGGGTATGGTTGGGGCAATGGGGTGGTGTAGGGAGGGAGGGGGAAGGGGAGGGAGTAGGAGGGAGGAGGGGGGGGGGGTTATTTGGGGGGGTGGGGGTTAGTTAGGGGGGGTTGATGGAGGTGGCTGGGGGAGGTGGGAGGGAAGGGTTCGGTCGGTGCGTGGGGCGGCACAGGTCATGGAGCGGGTGACGGTGGAGGGGTTGGGGATAGTGGAGATGGAGGTTGGGGGCGTGGGCGTGGAGAGTAGAGGGAGTAGGGGGGAGGGGGGCGAACCTGGTCTGGCTTTTAGTCATCGCTACTATGGTCGTGCCCACGTCTCGTTCTCCTCGTCCAACCCCATCTTCATGCCCTGGTCGTCGTCATCGTCGTCGTCATCGTCATCGTCATCGTCATTGTGACCATGATCATAATCATAACCAATATGATTGTCATGATGGTGATGATGGTGGTAGGGAGAGAGAGAGAGAGAGTATGGCAGACTAGTGACTCACAGAGTAGTTGGTGGGGGGAGGGGATTAGTGTCCACGGAACCGCGTGGACACCCTCGTTTGTCTAATGTCAACGCACGCGGACGGAGGTCGTCGCTTGGAGGCTCGCTGTTGGCGATTCGGGCAGGGAACTTTTGGGAGGAGACGCCGCTGCCCGAAGGCCTGGAGTTTGAAGACCAGCCGACGGTAGAGAACACGGCGTGGGAGAAGCACTGGTACCGGCGGTATTTCGTTCAGGCGGATCATGATGTGTTTGTGGGCAAGCATGACAAGATCGGCGGTGTGGTCATGCTCTCGATTGTGCGCGATGACATCTCGGGCGTGGGCGCTCAGTTTCGGACCATTGTGTGGCGGTCGTCGGGCGCGACGCTGTACGTCATTCCGGTGACGGAGAAGGAGGCCAAGCAGCTTGCCGGCGGCAAGGAGTGGAAGCTGAAGGACACGCTGGCGCGGTTGCACGGGTGCGAGCTCTCGTCGCTGTACAAGAAGTTCCGGACGGTGACGAATCCCGAGGTCATGAGCGACTTGCTGCGGCTGGAGGCGATGAACCCCGGTCACAACCGGTTCCACCAGATCGGAGTCATGTACGGTGGGCAGGGCCAGTCGGCCGAGATGGCACTCCTCGCCAACAACTCGGGCTCGGCGGCGTACAACGAGTTTCTGGAGCTCCTCGGGACAGAGGTCGGGCTCGCCGGGTACACTGGGTTTGCCGGCGGCCTCGACGTGACGACCGAGGCCAAGACTGGAGCCACCTCGCGGCGGACCTCGTTCCGCGGGCACGAGATCATGTACCTCATTGCGACCAACATGCCCGACGCCGACACCCGGGCCCGGGTCCTCGGCTCGGCCATTGTCCGCATTGTCTTTCTCGATGGCGACAACACCTTTACTCTCGAGTCGATGGCCAAGGCCTCAACCGTCGTCGTTGCTGTTGTCCAGACCGTGCCAGACGACGACTCGATGTACTCGCTGACGCTGGCGTACGAGTCCGGGACTGCACTCGTCGGCCCGCCGCTCAAGGCGCGGTACCCCAAGAACGGCGGCTTTATCCAGACGCTCCTTGCCAAGCTCATCAACGTTGAGCGTGCGGTGGTGACCAACGAGCACTCGCGACTCTCGGTCCTGCAGCAGGCCGAGCACGCCATGGGTCGTGCGCTTGAGACCGCGTACAAAAAGTACTACAACAAGAAAGCGTCTGACTACAACCTTCACGGCTCGCTCGCGCCGTCGGCCGACCTGCCGGCCGACGCACTGGCGGCCATCGGCGGTGGCTTTGAGCCCGACTCGGCGTCGGTGCTCCGGACCCAGGTCATTCTCGAGGCCTTCCCGCAACCGATCACCTGCCTCGCGCCGTGGGACGACGACTCGCTCTTCTACGGCGCCTCGGAAGGCCTTTTCCTCCTCGACAAGGTCTCATCGAACAACATCAAGCTCAAGCTCGGCTCGGGCGCGTCGCACATGCTCCAGCTCGACGTGCTCAAAGAAGAGGGTGTGGTGCTGGCGCTCTCGGGCGCCACGCCGTCAGTCTCGGTCATGGACGTCGATCGCATCGTGACCAAGAAGCCCAAGATCAAGGTCCTGAGCCAGACCTCCAAGGCCCACCTGTTCACCACGGGCCTGGTGGGAACGGCCACCCACCTCTGCGTTGCCGTCCACTCGGACGTCATTGTCTTCAAGTGGGACGACTTTGACCGCACCTTTGTCGAGCTCTCCAAGATCCGCTTCCCGGCCAAGCCGCTCACCATGGTCATGTCCAATGACGGCTCGGGCTCGCTTTGCGTCGCCTTCAAGTCGCAGTTTGTCCTCGTCAACCTCAAGACAGAGGCCATCACCCAGCTGCACGAGGACTCGTCGTCCTCGCCCATGGCCGCTTTTCTCCTCGACAACGTTTACTTTACCGGCATCGACGCCCCCTCTATGGGTGCCATGAACGCCATGATCGGCTCGGCATGCAACCGCTGGCTCCTTTGCTACCAAAAGTGTGCAGTCCTCATGCGCGTCCTCGTCGCTCCCGACGGTGAGACCTCGGTCACCCACGAGTACTCGGCCCACTGGCAGGTCCCGCCGCAGGCCATCACCCTCCTCCCGCCCTACGTCCTCTCCGTCTCGTCTTCCGTCCTCGAGGTCCGAAACGTCGTCAACGGCACTCTCCTGCAGACGTTCCCCATCCACATCCTGCCCGACACCACCTTCTCATCCGTCCTCAAGTACGCAGGCCGCGCCCTCTACGTCCCATCCTGCGTCTCGGACGACCACTGGCGCATCAACAGGCTCACCCCCACACCCATCGATCACAACGTGCTTCCCTCGGCAGACGCTGCAGCATCGGCCTCGTCCTCGTGAATCATGCTCCGCCACCCTCCACCACCGTCACTGGCCTCGTCACTCCCACGACTACTTCCCTTTCCCTGTACAGTATCTGTTGCATCTGAGGGTGGACGAGGGAGGCGAGGGAGGGACGGACGGGCGACGAGGGGCGGATAGCAGACAGCGCGGCGACTCGCCACTTGACTTGCTCGCACGGGCTAAACACAAAGCGCACAAAACTGCCTTTCAGCATGGCACAAGCAGGATACACGGCGCGTGTGCTTGCGTTAGAATTCTCTGCGTCGTCAGCATGTGAGGCCGGGTGTGGGCCTTCGGGAGCCGCCTCGTCCGGCCACCAATTCACGACCTTTTCTGTCGCTGCCAGCGAGTATGCGGCCGCGAGCGAGGTGGCCATAGCCACAGCCATGGACATTGCCGCAGCTCACCCAACAACAACAACAACAACAACAACAACACAGAGCCCACGAATTGCAGAAGCTCTTGCTGCAGCCCATGCTGATGCCCATTACTACAACCTCTGTGCTGAAGACGCCCTCGACATGGCACTTGGCGCCAACCCGTCCGCGACGACTGCTGCTCCTGCTGCTCCTGTTCCTGTTCCTGCTGCTGCTGCGCAACTGATGCACGGTGAGCTGGATGACGTTGTTCTTGGCTCGCAATTGGCTCTTCATCTCCGGGCTGCCGCCGATGCCGTTGTCGATCATCTGGCGCCTCCGCCGCCGTCATCGACTGTTGCGTCAGCCTGTGGTGGTGGCGACGGCGCCATCGTGCCGGCATCGACGGCCTTGTGGGGTCGGAAGGAGCCCGCTCGGCGGGAAGAGCCCGCTCGTCGGGAAGAGCCCGCTCGTCGGGAGGAGCCTGCTCGGCAGACACGGGCTCGGCCGAGTGCGCGGGCGTCCGAGTCGGCGTCGGCGTTTGCGTCGTACAACCCGGCAGTTCAGCTGCATGGCATCGTGACTGGGGCAAACAAGAGCCATCGGAAACGTAGGGCGGAGGACGATAGCGAAGGTGGTGGTGCTCGGGGTGGCGGAAGTGGCTCCGGGCATGGAGACGGCCGTAGGCGGCGGCGGAAGCGGCGGCGGGGCATGGCCGGCGGAGCAGGCGACGACGAGAGCGGCGACGACGGCGGCGACGAGCAGGCCAACCCGTTCCTCTCGGCGTACGACAAGCTTCGGATCGACGACAAGAAAAAGGGCATCAAGCGGTCGGGCCTGTCAAAGCGCGGAGGGACGAGCGGCGCGGGTGGGGCGAGCGGCGGCTCGGGCCGCGGCTCGTCGCGCAGCGGGTCGGGAGGCGGCGGTCGCGGCGGCAGCAGAGGCGGCGGAGGTGGCGGCGGCGGCAGCAACGAGGATGTAGACGAACGGCTGAAGAACATCGATCCGGCGTTTGTGGAGATGATCGAGAACGAAATTCTGGACACGCGGATGAACGTGACGTGGGACGATATTGCCGGGCTTGCGGCGGCGAAAAAGGCGGTGATGGAGATTGTGGTACTGCCGCTGCTGCGGCCGGACCTCTTTACCGGCCTCCGGTCTGTGCCCAAGGGCATCCTGCTGTTTGGTCCGCCGGGAACGGGCAAGACGATGATTGGCAAGGCGATTTCTGCCCAGTCTGGGGCGACGTTCTTCTCGATCTCGGCCTCAGCACTGACGTCCAAGTGGGTCGGGCAGGGCGAGAAAATGGTGCGTGCGCTCTTTGCTGTGGCGCGTGTCCACCAGCCTGCGGTCATCTTCATCGACGAGATCGACTCGCTCCTCTGCCAGCGGTCGGAGAAGGACATGGAGTCGTCGCGGCGGATCAAGACCGAGTTCCTCATTCAGCTCGACGGGTGCGGCTCGGCGTCGCAAGAGCAGCTTCTCGTTGTCGGCGCCACCAACCGGCCGCAGGAGCTCGACGAGGCCGCCCGGCGGCGGATGGTCAAGCGGCTATACATTCCGCTGCCCGATGCCGATGGCCGGCGGGCGCTGGTTCAGCGGCTGCTGGCCGAGCAGCCGCACTCGCTCGACGACGCCGACATCGAGACACTCGTCGCCGCCACTGCCGGCTTCTCGGGCGCCGACGTCAAGGCCCTCTGCACCGAAGCCGCACTCGGCCCGATCCGCGAGCTGACCAACATGACCTCGATTGAGACCATGCAGGCCATCCGCGACATTTCTGCCGACGCCGTCCGCCCGCTCTCCAAAGCTGACTTTGACGAGGCCATGCTCACTGTCCGGCCCTCGGTCTCACCCTCAGAGATCACCCACTACATCGAGTGGAACAAGCTTTACGGATCAACCCGTGCCGTTGCGTAGCGTGCCATGTACAGATGCTGGGAAATTGTGCTGCCGCTGGAACGGCTCGTGTGTCTGAGGCAAAACGGCAGTTTGTCAGTCGGTCGGTCGGCCGAGTCGACGACAAAGCGCACCACCGCACTCGTCTGTCGCCAAAGCACCACGCTGAGTGGGCGCTGTTGACGAAGACACCAGCGTCGAGAGAGACCACAAGCGTATTGTGTGGTAGCTTTATATACACTACACCTGTGACAAGAGAAGAGGGAGAGGGGAAGAAGTCCTTACCCATACCCCCCCCCCCCCCATACCCACCACCACCACCTCGACTGCCACCAGCACCACCTCGGCTGCCACCACCACTACCACCACCGCTACCACCACCTCGACTGCCACCACCACCACCACCACCACCACCTCGGCTGTCATCACCACCTCAACTACCACCACTGCCACTGGTACCAGGTCACGCTCTGGTTGGAAGAAGAGGACAAGGCCAGGAGAGACAGAGAGTGAGCATATATAACCCATCATCACCATCATATTATGAGTGAGCCACGGAAGAAGTTGGAGGCTACCTCCAAGCGACTGGAGACTTGTTTGGGATCTGCCTTTAAGGGCTACCAGGAGTGTCTCCGCAAGTACTTTGCCTATCAGTTGTCAAAGGTCGAGCTCGATGCCTTTGTCCGCACCGTTCTGGGCAAGGAGCACAGTACGTTGTGGGTGTGAGGGGGTGTGAGGGGGGGGGGGGGGGGGGGGAGGGGAGGGGAGGGGGGGGGATCATCATCATCACCATCATCATCATCATCATCACCATCATGGTCATCACCCCCATGATCATCATCATCATCATCAGGGTCATCATCATGGCTGTCACGATCATCGTCATTGTCATCGTGGTCGCGGCCGTGGTCGCAGTCGTGGCCGTGGTCGCAGTCGTGGCCGTGATCGCAGTCGTGGCCGTGATCGCAGTCGTGGCTGTGATCGCAGTCGTGGCCGTGATCGCAGTCGTGGCCGTGGTCGCAGTTGTGGCCGTCATTATGGTCGCGGCCGCGGCCGTGGTCGTCATGGTGAACCTTGAGGTTGTTGCAAGGAAAGCTGGTCGTTGTGGGGGATGATGGGTCGGAGGGATAGTGAGATTTTTGTGCATGCAGGGACCAAGCAATCATGTACTCACTCAGCAAGCCATCAATGCAGTCGAGCTGCACAACACGTTCATGGCCGACATTCTCGCCAACGCACGTCACGCTGAGCCGCCGGCCAACATGGGCAACGCGCTCGAGGAGCGCAAGCGGAAGCGATCGATGGGCGCAGGAAGCGGGAGGTTCTCAAAGTCGGTCAAGCGCGACACCCACGCGTCTCCGGCGTCGAGCGGGACCAACATGGCCACGCCGTACATGATGTCGCTGGTGGAGGCGTCCAACGCCAAGGGCGGGCCGGGCGGGCGGGGCCGGAAGCGGAGCGTGTACGCAGGGCGGGCCGGATACGGCCGGCGCTTCCGCGCCACAGCGCCGTCGCTCTCGTCAGGCATCCACCTCTGTTCGCAGACCAAGTCGCTGCCGTCGGCAGCGGCGCTGGCCGAGCGTATGAAGAAGATGGCCGTCGAGGCCGAACTGAATGGCGTCGATCCCGACGCGGCCGCCCTCCTCGGCACCGCGCTCCGCGTCCATCTCAAGAACCTACTCTCCACATGCGTCGACATTGTCGCCACCGTCCGCACCGCCAAGGCTGCCTCTGCCCCGCCGCCGTCTTCGCCGCCCGCAAACGGCCACAAGGCCGCAGCGGTGGCCGACAGCCCACGCACCACCATCGGCGTCGCCGACCTCGCCCTCGCCGTCCAAGTCGCCCCGCTCATCCTCGGCGACGATCTCCCCATAGCTCGCGAGCGACTTGTTCTCCTCGAGCGCAAGCTGTCCACCCATCACCAGTAACAGCACATCAACAGGAGCGCCACATACAGCCAGGTGGGTGGGGCGTGCGTCGGCGAATTAATCAATGACTTTGTTGTTGCGGTATTCGTTGAGCAAAAGCGAAGGGGCGGACAGCCGACGAATTAATCAATGACTTTGTTGTTGCGATATTCGTTCAGCAGGCAACGGGCAGGCGGCACATCTGACTACAATCACCTCAATCATGTCGTCGTGGCGCTTCCTCAACATGTCGTACGCGGCGTACGCCCAGGTGGCGACCAACCTTGTCCGCAACGTGGTCAAGAAGGAGGTTGCCTCCAAGTACGCTCCATCCCAGCTGGAGATGCTTCACAAGACCCGTGACGGTGCTCGCAGTACGTAACCCACACATACATCCACCATGCCCATACCCGCCTTCACCATGTCGTGAGTGCGGCCAATGGCAAATGACCCAAAAAATACATCGCTTGCCCGTCCCGCCCACCGACGACGACCTCCCCCCTTTCCACCTCTACCACGTGCATGCTACTACACACACTCCTACAACTCGGTGTATATGTACAGAACTCTGTTTTCACTCTCCATGCCGAGTTGGAGTTGGCTTCATGGCTTATTTCGCTTGTCCGAGGCTTAGTCCCTCCCCCCCCCCCCCCGGGGATGGCCACCCACCCGACCCACAGCCACCACCTCCCCACCCGCACACGCACACCATCCATACCCAAGAACCACATCACAACCAACCTGCACCACCAAACCACCACACACACCCCACCATACAAGCATCTCCATATGTCACTCTCCCGTACCATCCGCTCCCTATCATCCTCCACACACACACGCACACCATCGCGCTGCCCATACCCCACCACCGCGGCGCGTCACCCTAGCGCGTGGTCGTCATCGTCGTCAATATGGTCGTGGTCGTCGTGATGGTCGTGGTCGTCGTGATGGTCGTGGTCTTCAATATGGTCGTGGGTGTGGAGGGGCGTATGGGCATGTAGCCGGCCTCGGTATCATGCTCGGTCGGTCGCTGACCGAGTAGTGCTGCAGCTCGGTCGTGGTCGAGGTGGGGAAGGTGACGACATCCGCCCGTGACAGCCGCCGCAGTGACTGGTGGCTACCACGGGCCGATGTCGCCATCGTTGGTTGATCAATCTTTTTCCTCGGCCACAACCACAAGCACGATCACATTCACGTCCATCACCTCCGTCCCAACATCACCACATCACACCCCGTATCCTCTTGCCTCCCTCACTCACTCACTCACTCACCTCCTTCCTCCCCCCCTCCCCTCTACGCAGAGTACATCGACGCCAACTCGTTCAACCTTGCCAAGAAGTGAGCAGTTGGCCGCGAGGACCAAGCATAACACACATGACAGCAGTGAGATACTAGCCACAGTGACGTTTTAACTCGACGTTGATCACCCCTCATCCTCCTCGCCAATGTAGCCGACGCCGAGCTTGGCAGAGCCCTCCATAGGTAGAGGTAGAAAGGTGTTGAGGGCCTGGGTGACAAGCTCAATGGGCGGGAAGACGTTGCGGATGCATGTGACGTCGACGATCTTGTCGGCGGCGTGCTCGGCGAGGCAGTGGGAGATGTTGTACACCTCGTTGGGTCGCCAAGTCTCGTCCTGCTCGTAGTGGAACTTGGTGAACCACGGGTCGTCGGCCGCGCCGTTGAGCGAGACCTTGCTCTCGTCAATGGAGAACGGGCCCCACTTCCAGAGCAAGATGAGCGATGAGTCGCGCCGGAGGAAGAGCGTGTTGGACATGGCAGCGCCGGTGACCATGATGACCACCCGCGAGGTGAAGAACGGAAGCATCTGGCCTTGCAGATTGTTGTTCCCGATCTCCACAACGTTAAAGTTGTGGTGGTGGTGGAGGGCGACGGCGCGGACGGCATCGATAAACTCGTTGAACGGCGCAATGCGCTTGTTCCGCACGCCCTGCCGCGAGAGGACCGTCACCGTCGGCGCCATAGGCAGGATCTCGTCGGCGCGTGCGCCAAACGACCGCGTCAGCACCAGCCGCCGCAGCGCCCGGAGTGTGTGCGCCGTGTCGGTCAGCATCTGCTCCTCGGTTTGGTGCATGAAGAGCTTCGGCCGCGCATAATACGAGTACGGGTTCGACTGCGCGAGAACAGCATGCCGCAAGCAGACCGTTGCCATCCGTGATGCGTCCAGCGGGTTTTCCGAGAGCGCAATGCCCCACGGCCCGAGCCCGTCCCACACCAGCTGCGTCATGCCCGACTTGAACTGGCCCCAGTAGAGCCACGAGAGGTGGGCCGACGGATCGCGGCTGTGCCTGAGGATCATAGCCGGCCGAATGTGCAGGATGGCCTCCATGGCACGGTGGTGGTCGGCTGCCGTGGGAAGGACCACGTCGCCGTCGTATTGGACCGCCTTGAGCAGCTCGGCCTGCTTGTCGGCACCCCACTCGCCGGTGGCAAACCGGTCGTCGAGGAGTCCCCACATGAGAAGCCGCGAAAAGGTGAGGTACATCGGGTACGTCACAGAGTCGTAGTAGTCCCACGCGTTGCCAGCCGGAATAATCGACATGTCCACCGCTGTTCCAGCCGTGTGCTCGCGCCCGCCGAGCTCCTCGGCCGCGGCGAGGCAAGCCTCGTGCGACGGTGCCTGGTACATCTTGCTGTCAAAGACAAGGACTGAGTGACGAACAGGTACATCCTGTGGGCGGGCCTTCTTGGCCTCGATCTCGAGCTCCTCCCAACTGCTTACTCTTGCCCGCACTGCCTCGCGCTTGGCTTCGATCTCCTCCAGGATGGCCTTGTCCTCGCTCGCCACTGCAGCCTCGTAGGCAGCCACATCATCCAGCACAACCTTGTCAAGCGGGCGAGTAAAGTCGTAGTTGTTTGCCGCCGGAGCAACACCAAACATCTCCACCGGCTCACCACCTTGCGTCTCGAGGACATCCAAGCCGAGGACATCCCCCACCACAGGCATGGACAGAGGCCTCCAATCACTTTCCATGGGAACCGGCGACAGCAGTTCCACCAAAGGCGAGGAAGGAGGCGGAGGCGGAGACAATGCCGGTGATGGTGACGATGCCGGCGACGGTGACGGTGATGAAGATGGAGTTGAAGGCGGTGGTGATGATGATGATGATGATGATGATGATGGAGAAGGAGGAGAAGGAGGGCATGGCGGACATGATGATTGTTGTGGACAACCATCATCCTGGCCATCAGAACCACCAGAACCAGTACCATTACGACCAACGTGATTATGAGAACCATGAGAACCATGAGAATCAGATCCTATTTGATATGCAAAGTCATGGACGACACCATGGTGAGCGTCTCCGCTCATACAGTTGACCATGACATACACAATGCCACAGGCAAAGACAGAGACCGCCACAAGCACACTTCGTTGGCTCCGTCGCATGGCGACTTCCTTTCCGACTCGAGTGAGGCGGCGGTGCGGGGAGGGAGGGGGGGAGGGGGAGAGGGGGGGGGGGGGGGGGGGGAGGGGGTGCTTGTCGCTCTCGCTCGCCTCTCTGTTGCGCGCTGCGTGGGTCAAGTGGTGTGTGTTGGAATTAATCAAATTGCGTTCAGTGAACGGAACGGCTTACTGTGACTAACTAACTGATTCTAATGACTGACTAAATGACTAACAGCTAATGCGTATCGTCACTACAGTTTCTTCGTCAGCTCAAAGTCGAAAAGCATCCATGCACGCAGGAGCATCATCTTCTCGGCGCGCAGAGCCGAGAGGCGGTTCCGCTTCCTCGTCATCATGTCTGTCGCCACCGAGTTGAGCCGTTCGACGCTGGCAGCGGAGGCCGATGGAAGAAGGATCCCCTGGCCCCACAAGCCGGAACCTCGCACACAGCACCTGGATCCGCCGTACGTCAGCCTTGCGGTTCCAGTTCTTGCGAGACTCGAGACCGACGCACACGTCCTCAAACTTAGCCAACACGTCGCCTACGGACAAACTTGAAGAGGTAGAGATT